CTGGGTGTTTGTAGAATATAATTTTTACGCTATAACAAGACTTCTGTTTAGCCGTTTCCTGATCAAGGTAGCCTACCTGGACTCTGGTTCATTGTCTGGTTCACTTTCATCGACTAAGTTGAACTCGTAATAGTTTCAAGCATACCTGGTGACGAACTTAACACAGAGTTTGAGTCTCTGGCACAAGGCGTCATATTATGTTTGAATACACTTATTTTAAAAAAATTGGGATCCGAATGTTATCAAGCTGGCCAAAGGTTAACTAATGAACTCCTCTTCCATATACAGATTAGGTTTAAGCTTGATAATTATTGCTATGACTTCCATGAATTTCAGTGACTTGGCATTGAACTGTTTATCAATAACTCTGAAAACAAATTCACATTTTGAAATGTGCTCATGAGATGGCATGGTATAGATCTGAGTAGAAAATATTCTCTTCAAATGTATAAACCTCTAGGAATATATATAAATTTCTGTTTTTGTTAGGATATTCATGAAAAATCCCAAGATAATTATTGTTGTAACTCTAATTCTATTGGTCAAATTCCTACTGGTTAATATTGTGGTCTTCCTAACTATCAATGTCACATACTTCAATATTGTTTACCATTGATCGTCCGAACTGTCAATGTCACAGACTTCAAATGTTGTTTCCCATTCGACCTAACAGCGTATAAGTATGCATTATCTATAAAGCTTATTATTCCTTCCTTCCTTCTGTACTCGACCCCATCAACAACTTCATCTAACGGTGTTGTGTTCTGATATATATTTTGGAGATTTGGGAACAGTATTTGGGGGTCGTACTGGAATATTTGAATTTCGTCAATCGGTAGGATTTCGAGTAGCGACATAGAAGCATTATAACAGTTTTATTGTTACGCCTGCACGTAAACACGACAACTTGATATACTTGAACTATTACGAGTTTACCAAGTCGGAAAAACGAGAGCGTGGATCGAGGATCTGGTGACACGACATGCTACTCTCAAATCCGATTATCCCAACCCCCATATTGAGTAAAAATAAGAAGACTTGATATGAAGCAGAGCATGTATTCTACAAGCATCCAGAAAGTATGCGGTCTGAGTCCAGAAGAGAATCAGGATCCCGGACTAGGAATCCGAGACCGGGTCCTGATCCTCGTCCAGGTCATACAACGTTACAGATAATGCGTATTTATACATTTTGGTCGAATAGGAAACAGCATCGAATTCTGTGACATTGACAGTTAAGACAACTAATAGGAAGCAACATTTGGAGCGACATTGATAGTCAGGACAACCAATAAGAAACAACATTGAAGTATGTGACATTGATATCTAGGACAACTATGAGAATGACCAGTAGAAATCAACCAATAGGAATTGATCAAATAATTCTCTTAGGATATTGGATCAATATCCTAACATTTATCTAATATCATTTCAGAGAGTTGAAAGCAAAATACCGATCTTTAGATTGTGCATAGAGTACTGTGTAGATTGTTAAGTTTAGTTGGAATAGTGAATCATTGTAAGTTAGATAAACATTGAACTCATAGTGATACTAGATGGCTCTCTCATTGTATATCGATTAGTGAATTCAGCCAAACTTCTGGACTTGATTTCCGATTGCGTGTGGCGGAAAGATTTCATACTGGCACGAAATGGCTGTCTAGTTTTACAAGGTTTTTTATGGTTATCTATCTGGAATCGATATAGGTTCAAATCTCACCTGTCTCTTCAAGACTATGGGTATGCATTGCTAATAATAATTGTTAATAGGTCGTGAAATTGGATTTCTTTTGACTGTATCTAGAAACCTAACATTCCTATTTACCTCATATAGTGACTAGTTATTCATATCCACAGTGCAACTTGATAGACAGAAACTAAACAATGATAAACAGCTTAAAAAACATGACATTAATTGCTACTCAGTGATCAATCAATGTAAACAGTAGTGGAATCTAGGATGCAGGTTTAGGACTTGTCAGTTGATGAACACTTTGAGACTGGACGTCATCATGATATCCCCGGTTAGGTACAAAGTCCAGTGAGCAATTTAATAGTTTGTATGCCTTTAAAGATTAAGGTTATTCTCGTCCAAAATGACAGTAATAACTTCTCAATTATGTCATCTCGAACTCCATAAGCTCAATATTGTAGAGGAAAGATAATCTCGTGAATCGATCATTGTTAGATCACCATTAGAAACTTGGGACTACTAAATGGCCGTTTTGTTTCAGTATGAGACTCATTAGCAGTGCGCACTTGCGACTTTCGGTCATGGGAATCAGACTCATGAACTTCAGTCTTGCGTGCGAAGGCGCAACCTCTAGACCACTGAGCCGGCATCCAAGGGTGTGATAGTCTAACTTTGCTCAGTCTACGGTTTTACGCAATCTCACCGATTGTCTTCGATGGGCAACTGCTTACACCCGACGCGATTGAATTCCAACAGTCACGGCTTCTTACTAGAACTTTGAGAATTTCCTCGCAAAAATAGTCACTAGTGAGAACGATTTTAGAATGGACTAAGTACGAGGAAGTTCACCAGAAGGAATTAATTTGATGCTTATCATAATAGTCTAGTGTACGAACAGTTCACAACGGAATGGAAAGGAATAGTATTTGAAGAAAACATAGATTATCTGCGAAATTTATCCACAGTCTTTAGCTACACGATTGCATATTCTGTCATTCAAGTAGGTAATAGTCTTAATTCTGTTGTTCCCGAACACTCCATGATGTTGGCTTTCTAAAATTTATATCTTGAGGTGTCAACTCGAGAAGCTTCAAACAGGCGCCGCTAAATATTACTTTTAATCAACCCTATGAGTAGTATCTAACAGATTAATAGTAGTTTAAACAATCAGAGTGATGTCTTTTTGAGATCACAATTAAGATTCTCACTTGAATCGCCTACAGCTCATAAAAATCAAGAAAAAACTATCTACCGTGACGAATTAAATACTAAGAATGATATCCTAAATGGACTGAATTACGATTGTGGCCGTTATGCTCGTCAGATTGACGTGCTTAAAACGATTACGAGTTCACCTTAGTCAGTAAACGAGAATGAGACAATGAACCAGTTTCCGTGTAGGCAACTCTAATCCGTTTCCCCAACTAACTGAAGAAGAATTCTTAATATGGCGTTGAAAGTGTATTCTACAACCAACCAGAAAATATAATTATCTCAGGCACACAAATCGCGTTTATTTATACATCATAGAAACATCCTTCGAAGAGCCACAAAACTAGCGTACTAAAATAACATATCAACCAATCAAAGCCAAGGATTTCCCAAGTGGGATATGTGATCTCAAGGTCAACTGATCAGCCCATCTGCGGAAGCATAAAACCAAAAATGAGGACCTTTATCAAGTGAGTTCTGAGGATCTAACGTCACCAAACAGCAGTATCTTTTACTATTACTCAAATTATTTTAAACTTTTCACGTACTTATTCTAAAATCGCAATTTTATGTCTAAATTGATATGCAATCCAGAAATTAATTGATATTCTTGTATGAGTGGATTGATTTGAATTGTATAACCATTTATTTTCCGATTGAAAAATTGAGTTGATACGACGGCGCACATTTTAAACTCATAACTGTGAAAATTATTCTTAACTTTAAACTCAGGATTAATATCTTACGACAAGATCTAACGTCATGGAATTGATTCCCACGAGAGTGGATCGCGGATGCGCACTGCTGATGAATCACACACTAGGACAAAACGACTGTTCATTGCTTCCAGGTTCATAATGATAATCTGCTACACCTGCATGTAAACACATCAACTTGATATACTTGAACAATTAGGAGTTTATCTAGTCGAAAACGCGAGAGCCGAGGATCGAGGATCCGGCGACACGACATGCTACTATAATCCGATTATCTCAACCCATATACTCAGTAAAAATAAGAAGACTTGATATGAAGTTGAACCTGTATTCTACAAGCATCCAGAAGTACGAGGTCCGAGTTCAGAAGAGAATCAGGATCTCGGACTAGGGATCCGGAACCCGGTCCTGGTCAAAAAGTGTTATAAATAATGCGTATTTATAAAGTTTGGTCGAATAGGTAACAGTATCGAAGTCTGTGATATTGACAGTTAAGACGACTAATAGGCAGCAACATTTGAAGTAACATTGATAGTCAGGACAACCAATAAGAAACAACATTGGATCACGTGACATTGATATCTAGGACGACCAGTAGGAATTAACCAATAGGAATTGACTAATCATTCTCTTAGGATATTGGATAAATATTCTAACATAAGTTAGTTTGATTCATGATTACGAAGAAACGTTTATGTTTGACTGAAACTTGAAACACAAACATGATAGACGACAAATATTTTGCTTCCTTCTGTTAGGAACGTGAGATCCCCAGTACTCGCTTGTTAAATGCCTTAATTTGGACTTTACTTTTCCGAGCATGGGCTGATCAGTTGACCTTGAGATTTCATTTCCCAAAACAGGGAAATCCATGGCTGTGATTGACTGCTGTGTATTTTAGTGTTCTATTTTCGTAACTGTCCCAACCACATTTCTATGATGTATAAATAAACAAGATCTGTGTACTTGATTGTATTGTGCTTCCTGGGTGTTTTTAGAATATACTTTCTACTCTATATCACGACTTCTGTTTATCCGTTTCCAGGATCAAGCTAGCCTACCTAGACGCTTGGTTCATTGTCTAGTTCACATTTATCGACTCAGTTGAACTGTTAATAGTTTCAAGCATACCTAAAGACGAATCTAACACCTTCACACTATATAAAACCAACCTACAACGATCATATATTGTTGAATTTCTATATATCAAATAATCTAATTAATACGGCTGGTTATTTTATTTGTTTTTATTCAATTAAAACATTTTTATGATCGATTAAATTAAATTAAATTAAATATAGTTACACAAGAATAATTTATTAAATTGTTATGTGTTTTTGATATTTTTCAAACTGTTACTTGACCCAAAAAAAACATGAATTAATATTCGGCATCATCAACATCATCACAATTTTCTGCAGTACCTTTTTCATATGGTTGTACATCTTCTTCAGCTCTAAAAAAAAATATTAAACATTGAAATAATTAATCATATGTCAGTTGTTTTAATGTTTATATATTAATATGAAAGAGAGAGAACTCCGCCAGTAGAACCTTAGGGGCTACTGCCGGTCCCAAGCCCGGATAAAGGAGGAGGGTTGGACATGGGGTTGGCGACCCCATTCCGTTGAAATCTCACTTGCCAAAAAAACGCTAACCAGAAAAAATAAATCAAACCATTTTAACTCTGCCCTGTAGGTTGGAAGAAGAATTATGACGTCTCGTGATGAAAGCCGAGTTCCCTCGGAAGTCACGGGGCTGATGCCTCTTCTGACAAACAGAGCAACCATTTTTTAGGTACATGGAACGTTCGTACATTGTGGGAGACTGGAAGATTATTTCAAGTTGCGGCAGAAATGAAACGATACAACCTCGAGGTGCTTGGAATCAGTGAAACGCATTGGACACAAGTAGGACAACTGAGACTTGCTTCAGGGGAACTGCTGTTATACTCTGGTCATGAAGAGGAAAACGCTTCACATACACAAGGAGTTGCACTGATGCTGTCCAAACATGCACAAAAGGCACTGATAGGATGGGAATCTCATGGGCCGAGGATCATTAAAGCATCCTTCAAAACAAAGAAAGAGGACATTTCAATGAACGTCATCCAATGTTATGCACCTACCAATGACTACAATGACGACGTTAAAGATCAATTCTACGAAAGGCTGCAGTCAATCGTCGATAAATGTTCACCAAAGGATTTGACGATTCTTATGGGAGACCTGAATGGCAAGGTTGGAATGGACAACACTAGATATGAAGACATCATGGGACGACATAGACTGGGAGAAAGGAACGAAAACGGTGAGAGATTTGCAAACCTATGTGCCTTTAACAAACTGGTCATCGGTGGCACAATATTCCCGCACAAACGCATGCACAAAGCTACATGGATTTCACCGAACTACACTACTTAAAACCAAATTGACCATATCTGTATCAACAAAAAGTTCAGAAGGACCATGGAGGATGTGAGAACCAAGAGAGGAGCCGATATAGCTTCAGATCACCACTTGCTGATCGCCAAAATGAAACTGAAGCTAAAGAAGCACTGGACAACGGGGCAGACAACATCACAGAAGTTTAATACGGCCTTTCTTCGAGGTACCGTAAATTCAACGAATTAAAGATAGCCCTCACCAATAAGTTCCAGGCCTTTCAGGATCTACTCAATGGAGAGGAAGCAACATTGGAGAACAATTGGAAAGGGATTAAGGAGGCAATCACTTCAACATGTCAGGAGGTCCTTGGTCACAAGAAGTACCATCACAAGGAATGGATCTCTGTTGGTACTCTTGAAAAAATTCAAGAAAGGAGGAACAAGAAGGCATCAGTGAATGTCAGCAGAACAAGAGCGGAGAAAGTTAAGGCGCAAGCCGAGTATACAGAAGCAAACAGGGAAGTGAAGAAGAGCATCAGAGCTGACAAACGAAAATATGTGGAAGATCCAGCAATGACGGCGGAAAAGGCTGCAAGAGAAGGAAACATGAGACAATTGTACGAAACAACAAAGAAGCTCGCCGGAAACTATTGTAAACCAGAACGACCAGTGAAAAGTAAGGAAGGCAAAGTAATCAGCAACACTGACGAAGAGCGAAATAGGTGGGTAGAGCACTTTAAGGAACTATTGAATCGACCAGCTCCACTGAACACACCCAACATCGAAGCAGCATCCACGGATCTCCCAATTAATATTGGCGCACCTACGATTGAGGAGATCAGTATGGCCATCAGACAAATCAAGAACGGAAAAGCAGCAGGACCAGACAACATTCCAGCAGAGGCAATGAAAGCAGATGTAGAAGCAACCAAAGAAAGGCGACCTGAGCAAGTGTGAAAACTACAGAGGCATCACTCTTCTTTCAATACCAGGCAAAGTCTTCAACAGAGTATTGTTAAACAGAATGAAGGAATTCGTAGACGCCCAACTTCAAGATCAACAGGCCGGATTTCGGAAGGACCGATCGTGTACTGACTAAATTGCTACATTACGGATCATTGTGGAACAATCAATTGAATGGAACTCACCACTGTACATCAACTTCATCGACTACGAGAAAGCATTCGATAGCGTGGACAGGAAAACACTGTGGAGGCTTCTTCGACACTACGGTGTGCCTGAGAAAATAGTTAACATCATACGGAACTCTTATGATGGATTCAACTGCAAAATCGTACACGGAGGACAGCTAACCGACTCTTTCGAGGTGAAGACCGGTGTCAGGCAAGGTTGCTTACTCTCACCCTTTCTCTTTCTTCTGGTGATCGACTGGATTATGAAAACGTCAACATCTGGATGGAAGCACGGTATCAGTTGGACAGTTAGGACGCAGCTGGACGATCTGGACTTCGCAGATGACTTGGCTCTTCTATCGCACACTCAACAACAAATGCAGGAGAAGACGACCAGTGTAGCAGCAGCCTCTGCAGCAGTAGGTCTCAACATACATGAAGGAAAAAGCAAAATTCTCCGATGCAACACAACATGTACCAACCAAATCACTCTTGATGGAGATGCCTTGGAGGACGTTAACACTTTTACATATCTGGACAGCATCATCGACAATCAAGGTGGATCCGATGCAGATGTGAGTGTACGGACTGGCAAAGCAAGCGCTGCATTTCTAACATTGAAAAATATCTGGAACTCCAAACAACTTTCAACCAAAACCAAAATCAGCATTTTCAATACAAATGTCAAGACAGTTCTAGCGTATGGAGCGGAAACATGGAGAACTACCAAAGCCATCATTCAGAAGATACAAGTGTTTATTAACAGTTGTCTACGCAAAATACTTCAGATTCGTTGGCCAGACAGCATCAGCGACAACGAACTGTGGGAAAGAACAAGTCAGATTCCAGTGGAGGAGGAAATCAGGAAGAAGTGGTGGAAGTGGATATGACATACACTACGAAAAGCACCCAACTGCGTCACTAGACAAGCCCTTACATGGGACCCTCAAGGCAAAACGAAAAGAGGAAGGCCAAGGAACACATTACGCCGAGAAATAGAGAAAGATATGAGAGGAATGAACAAACATTGGACATAACTGGAGAGGGAAGCTGAGGACAGAGTTGGTTGGAGAAAACTGTTGGGCGGCCTACGCTCCATTGGGGGTAACAGGCGTAAGTAAGTAAGTAAGTATGAAAGAGAGAGAGGGAGAGAGATTAAAATAATCAATATAGGGTTGTGTTGGCCAATCAACAAGCTGTGTAGAGTTTGGTGCATGCATATACATCAGTTCAAGTTGTCACTATTACATTAGTACACAGAGATTGAAGTGTCAATTCGAATCCCATACCGTACATTAAATGCTCCAACATATAGTTTAGAATGGGGTTTCAAGAGACCAGGAATAACGTTTTGAGGACTCGAATCGTTTGCAGCAGAGGTGCAGGGAGATAAATGAATGTGAGAAGAGTAAGTCGTGGAGATAAAAGAGATAATAGGGTGTGTAGGAGGGATTTGATTTTGACCAATTTGGTCTCTCGTGCTGTTTATGGGTATGAGGGCGGTTGTCACTTCCCGGATGCCCACACCGTGGAAGGTTGTTTCTTGAGGGAGCCGTAAAAGAAGATAGATTAGTGTTGGTCTTAGAGACCTGGGTGCGTGACCGCAGAGCCCAACGGACAACTGCTTGAGGCCGGTCACGCACGGCCTTTTTATGAAAGGTTTTTTTAGTATTAGCTCCGCTCTTGAAAGCCCTTAGTGGGCACCCGTACCGCAGGAGACAGAAATCCGTGAGGTAGGGTGAGGTGTGACATTTTTAGGGTCGACACTTTCTGACCCTTCATTCCTTGTGAGAAGGCAGTATCGCTGCAGATGCTGGTTATCCGAGGGAAACACCTTACTGCTGTCACACCCCTCTGCAGTCAGCATTAATATGGTGTGAGCTACTTATAAGTAGTATATGACGCGAGTGTAAACGTAATGTCTGGCAGCAAAAGATGGGGGAAGATCAAGAAAGGAAGAATGGGAACACAATGGAATTTGTATGAAACGCATGAACAGTGAAATCTCAGACAATGGATTGATGTTTCGCAACAGGAACAGTCCAGTTCGATATGATGGACTGATATTTTGCAAATTAACGATTTACGATATGGTTTTCCTATTTTATTGAGTAACTCTGTAATTTTCGTTAGATCAATCCGGTTGCCACACCTGTGTTCTCGTTCACTACAGTAAGACTTCGCCCTCAGATCTTGATTAGCTGCTGCTTTTAGTCTGATCTTTCTTCAGTCGACCTGCCTGGCATGGTAGAACCTTCAGGAAAATATGTTCCAGCCAGTATAGCTCGGTTGGGTCATCATGATAAGCAAACCTGACCACCATGTCAAGGTAGCAGCTACGGTTGGGATTAGCAGTAATTGGAGAGATCAGGGTTCGAAGATATGATTCACGAAGTATAATTCAGTGAAATGAACTTAAAAAGAGAAGGATTATAGTGATGAAGAATTCGAGAGAAGACAAAGAGAATGGATCCATCTGCATCAGTGTAGACAATTTTCAGCCGTGTCATTCAAAGTTTTTATTATCTCGTCGAACCCAACCTGGTACGTTGTGCAAGATAACATAACTCAGTCCATTAATCAGTGACTTCATATATTTGGACTCATAAGCAGTGAGAATTCACAAACCCCATTCGCGGGAATCAGGAGCAGCAACATTTTGAATTAATTCAAGTTAGACATTAACACCTTTCAGTGCCAGCTCTGAAGTCTAGAGATTAATTATTCTCATGAGAGATAGAAGAGTATGATTCCCGTGAGAATGGATTGTGAATAAGCACTGCTGATGAGTCCCATACTAGAATGAAACATTCATCCAGTGCTTTTGAGATGGTGGAGAAGATTTGTAGCAGAACAAGCTACATACAGCTCAAACGTGGAGAAATTCGAATGCTTCACTTCTGCTATCTGAAGTTTGTGCTGATGATGTTGTTCAGTGGAAGAACAATAAAAACTCCGCAACCAAAACAAGCAGCTCAGAGAACCAAACACCACCACTATCCAGCATTCTAATCCTGTTCTAACAATCACTGTCTCAGTAAATTAAAATGAATAAAATTATTCGTCGTAACTTACGCTGGAGAATAATTGCATACTACCACATATCGTTGTGAACATTTTTGTACACCGCAGCCGATTTCAGTTTCTTCACCTTTTACCATCTATAAATTGTAAAATATAAATATAATTTCTATTAAACAAACATAATCATAACAGTCCAGTATTGAACTTATTCACCAACAAGATCACACTTGATGAAGATACCTTTAGAGGATGTAGACGTCATTGACGAACAAGGTGGGTGTGATCCAGATGTGAAGACGTGGGTAGGCAAAGCTGAGGTAGAATTTCTAGAACTCAAAACGACTATCAGCCAACACTAAATTCATAATTTTCAATACAAAAGTCGTGACAGTTCTACTATATGAGACGGAAACTTGGAAAAGTACCAAAGCTATTATCCAGAAGATACAAGTACTTATTGAACAGTTATCTACATAAGTTTCACCAGATCCGTTGGCCAGACATTGTTAGTAACAACTTAGTATGGCAAAGTATAAACCAGATTCCACCTAAGAAAGAAATCCGGAAGAGGATACACGTTGTGGAAATCACTTAAGTACACCACACAGCAAGCCCCAAATTGGAATCTTTAGTGTGAGCAGGCAACAGGGGAGACCAAAGAACACATTACGCTGAGAATTAGAAGCGGACATGAAAAGAATGAACAACAGTTGGATAAAATTGAAAAAGAAGACCCAGGACATAATTGGTTCGAGAATGCTGATTAGTGGATGCACCTCCGTCATTGCAAACGGTTTTGAACCACGTCATTCAAGGTCTCTAACCATCAAATATTATCATCTCGCAGACCCCAACCAGGTTTCCTACATCTACCAACATGAATTAATCCACTTGTTAGTGATTTCATGAATTTCTTCCATGTTTTCGTTTGGCCGCCTCTAGCTTTCTTCCAACCTACTCCTACACCACAAAACATAGCTCGTCGAGGCAGTCGGTGGTTAATGTATACGTAACACATGCGTCCCAACCACCTCAACTGATGAAGTTTCACTACTTCATCTATTGATCTGACATCCCTACCTAGTACTGTTTTTCTAACAACAGCACTGCTTACTCAGCTGTCCCACGATATACGAACAATGCTTCGAATAAATTTGTAATCGAATACTAGTAACCTACGTATTTCTTCTACTTTCACCAACCATGTTTCTTATCTATATAGTAGGACAGAGCAAACTGCTGCACAGTAGACTCATCTTTTGATTAGCAAACGGATATCTAGCTTATGCCATAAGTGACACAAGTTGGAAAAAGCCAGTCGAGCCTTCTGTATCCGTGCTAAGATTTTGTCAGTCACCAGGCCATCAGCACTGATTAGACTCCCGAGATAAGTGAAGCGATCAATACGGTCAACTACTTCACTCCCTATCACTAGTTCAGGTGCAGATACAATCCAATTTTGAAGCGACATTTTGCATTTCGATGGGGAATCCGCATTTCAAACATGATTGCACTTACTTACCTGTTTATACTGCATACATGTATCTTTGCATCTGTTGTCATCATAAGAATAATTCTTGTATTCAACAAACCAACTGGCCACTGCTCTAAAACAAATAACACAAAGTTATTGAGTAATAAATAAGGTCTTAAGTATTGATTCAATTAAATTGATTAATTTGAAGGTCGGAGATTTGATTCCCTGGTTACTCTCTATCTTATGAACTCTGTTCTGATTGTAAGTTAGTTTCTAGTAGGTCGATATGAAATCTTTCTGTACGTAGATTTCATGCTTGTCGATCAACAAGACATGGTCAACACAAACGACTAGATAAACATGGGGATAATCGTATAGATATATTTCAGTCCAACAGGATCTCATTCGTAGAAATAATAGCCTAATGACATCGTCCAAGACGAGGATTTGAACTCTTTAAAGAGATAGCTCCTTCAAGATTTCGGATATATCATAAATATGAGAGTCATCTACTTTCGGGATTTCCTCCCTACTACTACTACTACTACTACTACTACTACTACTACTACTACTACTGTGGTGTGCGCTACTTATAAGTAGTATATGACGCGAGTAAAAACGTAATGTCTGGCTGCAGAAGATGGGTGAAGATCAAGAAAGGAAGAGCGGGAACACAATGGGATTTGTATGAAACGCATGAACAGTGAAATGTCAGACAATGGATTGATGTTTGCAACAAGAACAGTCCAGTTCGATATGATGGATTGATATTTTGCAAATTAACGATTACGATATGGTTTTCCTATTTTACTGAGTAACTCTGTAATTTTCGTTAAATACAATTCGGTTTCCCTCACCTGTGTTCTCCTTCACTACACTACTACTACTACTACTACTACTACTACTACTACTACTACTACTACTACTACTACTACTACTTCTACTGTAGTGAATGAGAGCACAGGTGGGGGTAACCGAATTGTATTTAACGAAAATTACAGATTTTACTCAGTAAAATCGAAAAACCATATCGTAAATCGTTCATTTGCAAAAGATCAGTTCATCCTATGGAACTGGACTGTTTCTGTTGCCAAACATCAATCCATTGTCATTATTCATGCGTTTCATACAAATTCCATTGTTTTCTAACTCTTCCTTTCTTGATCTTCCCCCCGTATTATGCTACCAGACTTTACGTTGACACTCACGCTATATACTACTTATAAGTAGTTCGCACCACAGCACCACACTACTACTACTACTACTACTACTCCGACTACTACTACTACTACTACTACTACTACTACTACTACTACTACTACTACTACTACTACTACTACTACTACTACTACTACTACTAGTATTCACACTACTACTACTAACCAGTCAACAAAGAGAAACGGTATTATAAAACATGTGCAATAGTTGAGAAGTCAACTTACTTCTCAATTGTTGGACTGTCGGCAATATTTTGAGCTACGGAAACAAATTCTTCAAAACTCATATCACTTGGACTATCATAAGCGTAATCACATCGATTAGCGGTGAGTTGAGCTTTTTCAGCTAAATGTTGATTCCATTTCTGTTCAAAATCGTATAAAAAAATATTGAATATCACAAGCAATACGAAATATCAGCCTGACAGTGGTTAAAATCGATAACAGATTCGTTCGGTTCTCTGTAAAACCTTCTTGTCTCATTGAGCCAAGCAGTATGAAAAGACAAAGCTTATCTAACGCACGACTGTGAAAAATTCATACTTGAGAAAAAAACAGTATTAAATGACAAACCCAAAATGATTGTATATTTTATTCTGATTGGTCCAACCATTAAATGAATTGACCAATGAGGTTTTTTGGATAACACAAATTATAATTCATAATAGAGAAATTTATTTTCAATTAGAGTTATGGAGATTGGTGGTTTTTACACATTTGAAATCATCAATCAATCATTGTTAGACCACCATTAGAAACGTGGAAGCACTGGACGACCGTTTCGTCCTGGTATGGGACTCATCAGTGACAGTGCGTATCCACGACTCCTGCACCTCGCGAGATCCGAACCCCGGACCTTCGGTATTGTGCGTGAACGCCTAACCTCTGGATCACTGGGCCGGTATACCACGGTGTTAATGTCTAACTCTAAATGATCTAGACAGGGTTGAACTTCACTGGTCACTCACGTCTTCTCACTAGAACTCCGCGAATTTTTCTCACAAAGCTAGTCATTAGTGAGCATATTTTTAGATATTTTCATTTAGAGTTATGGTGATTCGTGTTTTTTACACATTTGAAATCACCAGCCAATCATTGTTAGAAATTTATACCTAAAATACTGATTTCCCACTTATTCTATTTCGGCGGGAGACGATGATCACGAATGTTTATTTATTTGACTAATTTCAATGATTTCATTCAAACGCATGGAAAAGAGCGCAAATTATGAAATATTTCTTCACAATTAAATCCTCATGTCTGAAATGTCACTGTAATCATTTAACGAGTGAAAACTTGTTACACTCGTCTCTAGGTATGCTTAAACTATTACGAGTTCACCTTAGTCGAATAAGGAGAACAAAACAATGAACCAGCGTCCAGATAGGCTACTGTGATCCCTTGACCAAACTGAATCAATAAGAAGTCTTGATATAGTGAAGAAATTGTATTCTACAAACACTCAGCCAGCACACAATCAATCCAAGCACTTAAATTGCATTTATTTATACTCTATGGAGACGTCCTTGGGATAGTCACAAAAATAGCACACTAAAATGACACAGTAACCAATCACAGTCAAGGATTTTCCTGGTGGAAAATGTGATCTCAAGGTCAACTGATCGGTTCATGAAATATTTTCCAAAATAAAGATATTTATCAAGCAGCGAGTTCCGGGGGATCTAACATCCCCAACAAAAATGAAACGACATTGAACGGTGCTTACATCTGTGTAAGGAATTTCTCAAAGTTCTACTCTCAACTGTGATGCTAAATGCTCAGAGCTGCATTGAGTCAAGACCAGATATGTAGCACACAAACCAACAGAATCATTTCAATGACAAAGGAAGAAAAACCAAATATCCCATCTACAAAATAAATTGCTCAGAATGTGAAAAACACTCCATAAGACAAAGTGGACGGCCTCGACAGCTTCGTTTACGTGAACACCAATTAAGCAGTCAAATGCCACGACAATCCCTCCCTGATATCAATACACAAACCGACAATTATGGACATACATTCGACTGGAACAATGTGGAAATACTGGATAGGGGAGAGCACAAAGAACACCAGAGAATTTTTAGAAGCTTTGTACTCAGGCCAATCAGCATTCAACAAACACATCAACATTGACCCAATTTATCAACTAATCAGAAAAATCATAGGCAAACATAGGATCAACAAAACATATCAAAATGGGGATACAATCAAAATAAAAGGTGCAAACAACGACAGATTTAAGGTCAACACCAACCAGTCAGGATCGAGGTAAACAAGGTCAAACGTGGAGAAATTCGAATACTTCACTTCTGCTATCTGAAGTCTGTGCCGATGATGTCGCTGTTGTTGTTCAGTAGAAAAACAACTAAACCTCCACAACCAAATCACATCCAGCTCAGCCAGCGTAACACCACAATAATTGAAAAACAAATCGACACGCAAACTGAATTATTTTTTTCCAAAAAATCAAAAAAAAAACTCACCAATTTCGACATATACTTTGCTGGCGGTTGATTTGGCATCTTACAAAATCGTATAGAATTTCGATAATATTTATGTAATTGAAAAACTTCACGTATTTCTTTGGGTAATTTCAATTTTTGACATTGTGATTTGAACATGAGCACAGTGGCCAGTAGAACAATCAAACAAATGATGTAATTAGATTTCAGTTGTAAATTTTTCATTTTTAACCGAAATAAAATGAATGTGATCCGCTGGAAAAAAATGTGGTGTACACTCAAATACTGTTTCATGGAATCATGATATTTATACGTTTTTTGGGAGAAAAGGTGTATATGTACATATGTATATGATCGATTTGAAAATGAAATGATTGTGTAATGACAATTATGTCACTACGATTTCTATGATTACGTAATAATATTTCTGACAAATTTAAACTTTAGAAAGGTGAATCAATCAATAAAACAATTTGACAAATCATTTCATTTGTCAGAAATATTAAAGAGATTTTTAATTTGTTGGTTTATTTCATTGAAACTGGAGTTATTAAAATATATTTTTTTGAAATGATTGATAGTTTGTACATGATAAATGTGTTTTGTAACAGCAGTGATAGTGTAACCCATCTTAGTAATACTTACCTGCTTACTTACTTACTTACTTACTTACTTACTTACCTACTTACTTACTTACTTACTTACTTACTTACTTACTTACTTACTTACTTACTTACTTACTTACTTACTTACTTACTTACTTACTTACTTACTTACTTACTTACTTACTTACTTACTTACTTACTTACTTACTTACTTACTTACTTACTTACTTACTTACTTACTTACTTACTTACTTACTTACTTACTTACTTACTTACTTACTTACTTACTTACTTACTTACTTACTCACCTACTTACTTACTTACTTACTTACTTACTTACTTACTTACTTACTTACTTACTTACTTACTTACTTACTTACTTACTTACTTACTTACTTACTTACTTACTTACTTACTTACTTACTTACTTACTTACTTACTTACTTACTTACTTACTTACTTACTCTGTCCTGAACTTTCATTTTCTAAATTCTGTCCAATGTTTGTTCATTCTTCTGATGTCTGTCTTTACTTCTTGGTGTAATGTGTTCTTTGGTCTTTTTGTTTTCCTTTGGCTTTGAGAATGGCAAGTGACAGCTTGTCTTGTGATACAGTTGTGTGTTTCCCTAATTAGGTGTCCTATGCCCTTCCACTGCTTCTTCCTGATTTCCTTCTCCGCCCGAAACTGGTTTATGCTCTCCCACAATAGGTTATTACTTATAGTGTTTAGCCGATGGATCCAAAATATTTCGTGTAGACAACTGTTAATAAATACTTGTATCTTCTAGATGATGGCTTTGATAGTTTTGTAAGTTTCTGTCCCACACAGTAGAACTTTTTTGACATCTTGTATTGAAAATTATGATTTTGGTGTTAGTTGATAGTTGTTTTGAGTTTCAGATCATTTTGAATTGTAGAAATGCAGTTCTTGCTTTGCTGATCCGAGCGATACCTTACTCTCTAACCAACTTCTAGTTCAAATTATCTAGTTTTTCTTACAATCTCATGCTTGTGTTATTTTTCTGATTGTTATCGATCGATTTTTCGATTAAATGTAAGTGCATCATTTTATGTGCTTAGAAAGTCGTCTGCTCAGCTTTTTTTCTGTTGTTCTTTCCTCATCCAGATAACTTCACATACTGCTCCTCACACTCCCTTATGCATACAAGTTACGTTCAAGTTAAACGTAAACTTGCTCAGAGAAGAAGGTACAACAGATTGTACACTAGTTGTTCAACACTAATTATTAGCTTCCACAATTTGGTTTTACAGAACTATTTTTAGGTAACATGATTAATCCGATTTTAAATTTATCTGAGTTAAAAGTGTTTTTTGTAAGATTCTTGGTTAGAGTGAGACCACAAGAAATCTTAGGTTTCGTACTGTTTAGCATTTATTACAAAGGCTTGCTTGTAATCTTGAAGGAATTGATGCACTCTAGCGAATATACTCCCATGTCATTGAACTTCACTGTCGTAGACGTTCTGATTGAGATACTCGAACCAGACTGATTTCTTGTATGATTGAGATATATTTAAAGCTGATCGATTACTAACATGATAACGGATATAACTTATCGTAATAAGTATTAGCTTAGACACGGCTTCATGTCAAGAAATATTGCCACCTGACTCCAGGTACCTAACATTAGTTGGAATTCTTTGTGTGACTGAATCGTTACGAAAAGTGACGTAATTAAAATTTGATAAAACATGAAGTCAAACGTTTTTAGTTCTAATGAAGCCTCTAACTACACTGCTGAGATACGTGCGAAGCCAAAACTTTAGAAAAGAATACATGCAGATTGATTGTAAACCTTAACTCATGAGATTACCCCGGTGGTCAACTTGACTGTAAGTCTTGAAACAGAAAGATCTGTCAACAGAAACAACCAAATGCAGCTTAGTTATAACATGCAATACAGTAAATAAAGGCTGATAGCTGTGTTTTTAATGTCAACGACCTTTTTAACAACGACCAAAGGAGAAACTAAGATCACAAACAACTTAGAAATTATTACATATATCAACTACCTACTGTCAATGAATCAGTAGTATAAAACAATATACAAAAAAACAAGTTGAGATAGTAAACGAACATGACAGTTGTGTAAATATCTTTCTGATCAATCAGCGTTTGACTCAAGAATAAATAGGCGAATTTTGTGAATTTCACTTTTTCTAATGTAAGTTCTAGGATAAAAAAACTAATATGAGTAGGTTTATATTACTGAATATCATCATACTGAATAAAGAACAAAGTTGTCTGATTACTCATTTCCTTGAAATCAATGTTAGATCATCACTAGAAATCTGAAAGTACTGGACGGCTGTTTCGTCTCGGTATGAGACTCATCAGGGGTGTGAATAAACGACCACCGTTTACGGCAATCGAACCCTAGATCTTTAACCTTGACTGTGAACGCCTTGTAGTGAATCATTCACATAGCTCGTCCCTCTTGTCATTTGACCTTGTCAATCATTCGTCGGTTTTATTAATGTTTGTGCATGCCTATCTCGCTTGTTACATGTCCGTCTTATTTTCATCTGACTATAAATACATAGTCATGCTTTATCTATTGGAATTGGCTCACCAGCCTTCTCCACTTCACTCTATTCGCCAATTCGCTCGCTAGTGTGCTTGCCATGCTCTGTGTTCTTGTTGTATGCTGGTCCATTTGTGGTGTGTCAAAATAAACGTATCCAACACTTCGTGTTCACCTTCTGATTTAAAACCGTCAGGAGCTACTTTATAATGATTGTCTGGACGAACAAATTACGAAGTCTAGGAACTTATTGCATACCGACCGTCAAGAGTCTAGTGATATCTTGGCCACCACAGCCTAACCTCTAAACCAATGAGACGTTTAATGGTGGTTTAACAGTTTATCGATCAATGATTTTAAAGTAATTCAACCGTTTCCACAACCTCACAATGAGTAATCCTTTCTTTACTGGAGTAATTAAGGTTTGATTTCTCTGTAGCACTATTCAGTTACATATTGGAAGTGATTTTACACCTCTTATTATCATCAATTGGTAGAAACATTCGATTTTCCGAAGTCTTATCACTCAATATAAACCGATTATTCAACGAATAAATATTGATTCTTATTCGAGAAAGAAACTAACTTTGAATAACTAAGAGTCAGAAACTATTGCAGTTTTCTACCCTTTCTTTTTATGCTTAAAAATCTGCCTAACTCTTAGTTTATTTGAAATTCCCAAATTAAACCTTGATAACGAGATCATTCCGCTGTCTTGTTCAACCATAATTATATGTGGGGTGCATTGAACTTGAAGTAGGGCTCAGCAATTTGTGTGGCCCACTATCTATGAACAACCAAATATTCTGCAAAATAAATCTCCCCTTCAGTTTCGGTATTTCGTACTTAAGCCAACGTCGTTTGTGCGACAGTGGTTATTTACAAACCAAATACAGATTCAGTTGGATGAGTTTATTTCAGACAATCGTTCGAGCAAACAGACATGACCATGTAAAGCAACAACCAGATAGAAGCGAAGTGAAGAAGGTGAGTGAGCCAACTCTCCGTACAATGAAATATGACTAAGTATTTATAGTCAGACGATAATAGGCTTGACATGAGTGAGATAAGTGAAGTATGCGGTGTATATACACAGTCAAAATGAAACAACTCAGTTATAAGCAAATAATAGACAAGGTCGAAAGACATATGCATGACTGCAGAAGAGTTAATTGATTTGTTTCGAAAGTTGAGACAAGCGTTGTAGGCTCTACATAAAAGCACACACATTACATATTTTTTCCACATATGTGTATAAACATCGATGTAAATTAATTGACATTATTTAGGACATTACATAAATTTTGGTGAAATATAAGCGTTTCTTCCAATGGCAATGATCTTGACGAATTGTTATTGCTTCTGTCAATCAGCTGTTTATTGACTCACGTTGACTCAACTTTTGTGATTATAACAATGTTGAATCATGTATATGTAGAATGGATACAATGTTGCTAGCAGTGTAATCCAAAACGAACATTTCGTTCGACCTAGGACTCGTCGTCTGAATGCCACTTGATTTCGTAGTTGATATTCACTCTGGAACTCAAACCCAGCACCGTTCGCTCCAAACACCATCTTGTTATCCACTTACTTGCTGAGTTCGGATAGCCACTCGCTTGTGAAATGAGTATGAGATACAGTTCAATTTGAAAAGGTTTAAATTTTTGACTTCAATTCTATTAGTCTTGGTTGACAAATGTGCATCCAAAGCAGATATAGCTAAATAGATAAGGTGATGGCATTTAATGGTACTAGTGTGGTGCTGTGGTGCGAACTACTTATAAGTAGTATATAACGTGAGTGTCAACGTAAAGTCTGGTAGCATAATATGGGGGGAAGATCAAGAAAGGAAGAGTTAGAAAACAATGGAATTTGTATAAAACGCATGAATAGTGACAATGGAGTGATGTTTTGCAACAGGAACAGTCCAGTTCCATAGGATGAACTGATCTTTTGCAAATGAATATTTTACGATATGGTTTTCGTTAAATACAGATCGGTTGCCCCACCTGTGTTCTCATTCACTACACTAGGATTTGAAGCCTAGAGTGAACATCAGCTGCAAGATACAA